CGGCGGCTGTGCTGGCGACTCCTCAGGGGAGTGGCGCGGGAGCGGACGCGGACGGCGCGGGCGAGGACTTGGACGTGGGCATGGGCACGACGCGGCATGGGATCGCGGCATGGGAGTCGGCAGTAGAGTCACAGAGGGCCGGCCGCGGGCGGCGGGCGGCGGCTCACTCGAGGCCGGCGATGTTGGTCGCGCTGCCGTTGGGCTGGCCGACGAGGTCGAGCAGCGACGCCGCCGAGCTCGACCGCACCAGTTCCATCAGCGACGTCACCGACGGCGACTCCTTGAGCCCGTTTGCCAGCGCCGTCAGCTCTGCCAAATCGTCCGTCGACGGCGCGCCGGTGAGGCTGCCCCACGAGTTCCGCCGTCCCCCCGACCACGGAAGCACCTGCGGAGGGCGCGGGGCGAGGGGCGGGTCGGCGGGGCGGCGCGGTGCTAGAAGGCTGGGCTCCAGGGGAGCGTCGCTTGGAAGTGTCCCATAAGTGACTCGCACAAGCCCGGATCTCGTGCATTGCGGGTCAGGGGTCGTCTCGGACGCGCTCTCTGAAATGGCGCTCACCGACGGCGGCGGCATGCTCCCCGACGCTCCCATGTCGCTGCTCGATGCCGCCGACCAGAGCGCCGCAAGGTTGAGCTCGGACGTGCCCTGAGGGACGTGGACGTGTGATGGGCGCATAAGGCAGGTACCACCTTAGTAGGCATCTTGCGGGGGTGTCGCGTGCGCGCAAAACACAGGAGCCGTGGGACTCAGCAAGGGAAGCGTGAGATTGGAGGCGCGTGCTTGGCGAGGGGCCGAGCGGGGAGCGTCTCGGGACTATCTCGAGGCGTCTCGAAGTGGGACGCGCACCGGCGCCGGCGCGCCGCCCGCCTCTGCTTGCTCGGCGAGGTGCTGCAGCGAGTTTGAGCTCTTGAGCAAGCTCATCAGCGAGGCGAACGAGTTGGAGGAGGGGACGGCGGGCATCACCGGCCCGCCCTCGCCACCCTCCCCCTGCCCCTGCCCCTGCATCGTCCTCTGGGCCGCGCCCTCGAGGTACTGCAGCAGCTCAATCGTCGAGCGAGACGGGGGCATCCCGTTAGCCTGCGGCCGCAGCACCGACTGCAGCAGCTGCCGCATCGCCGCGTCGCCCGCGCCCAGCGTGGCGGCGCCCCCTGCGCCGTCGGCCGAGCTCGACGGCCCCGTGGGAAGCACCCCCTGCCCGGCGGCGACCGTCGCTGCGCCCGCGGGGGGGCGCTGGCTCGCCCACTGCGCCGTCCCCGGATCGATCTTTGGCTTTTTCGAGCTGCTGCGCCCGCCGCCGCCGCCGCCGCCGCCCGCCTCGGCGGCGGGGGCGGCGGCGGGGGCGGCGGCCGGGGCGGCGGCCGCGCCCTTTTGAGGCCTCTTGCGCGCCGCCTTGGGCGCCGCCTCTTTGCGCGACGGCCGCGCGCCGATCGCCTTGACGTCGCGCTGCACCGCCGCCTCTCGGATGGGCAGCTGCGCGTCGAGCATCACCTTTTGGGATATGGCGGAGGTCATC